TAAATTGTTTAAAATCCTTAACTTACCGCCAACGTTACCAAGGGCCGCCGGGGACCGCCAACGGTAGGAAAAAAAAAAAGTGCGGGCCCATCTTATAAGGTATCCCCAAAAAGGAACTTAATGGAGACCAAAGGTACAATCCAACAGCCCTTGCTCCAGGTGCCTCGTGAGAGGGATGAGGATGGGGCCGTCCTCGGCGTAGGGACCCGTCGATTTCGGGTCTTGGGTCTGTGGTCGAGTCTCGCTCACTCAGGGCTTAGAGGAGTGTTGAGTCTTATTTTCGGATAGAAGCATAATCTCAGGCTGACTCTGAGGGAAAAGGCAGCAAACACGACAAGATCAGGATTTCTCAAATACAGGCACGGATACTCCATCTGCCCTCCCACAAGTATCGCCTCTCAGGTGGTCTCGCCGCTGCCTTACTTCAAAGGGACATTGCCTCGAGGTGGACCTTAGAAGGTCCTTGGTCCCGTTCGCTGGGGCCACCACCCCCTCTGTGTCCTCCGTCGAAGGCAGCTGAACCTGTCGCCGTGCGATGTTCGTATTCGTGGGGCGTGACCGAGACCCCTTTAAAACAAGTCCATACATGACCTTAACCGGACCCTACACAGACCTTGTATCTATGAGCCCTGCAAACGTTGCAAACCATGCCTGTGATAGCAGCTTGTGCTGATGACTGTTCGTTTACCATACCCTAAACCCTAAACTCCCTAAACCCAAACCCGGAAACCCCTTAAACCTGAAGCGCAAAACCCCAACCCCAGTCTAAACACAGTCTCAGCGGAACTCCTTGAGTCTTCGAACCCCGGGATCTCCGGGAGATACAACGAAGGAAAGGTGTTGGGCTTTAGGAATCAGGGCCCAGGCGCGTACTATAGGGGCCGTAATAAATAGAATCGGGTTTGGGGCTATATTATACTCTATAATTATAGTCAGGAACCCCCAGATGGTCTAGGTAATTATTATAAGGCCCCTACATTAAGGGTTTGGGATGTTAAACGAGTGGCTTGCAGGGCCACGGTGCTTCGCTCGCACAAATGCCCATTCGGGCATAGAAAGGGAAGTAGGTAGCACTTAGGACCCCAGCAGTTGCAGGATCACCTTAGGGTATAACCTAAATCCCAAGCTCTGCGCCCTCAAGCCGAAATTTTCGCCTTCTTCGCCCAAGCTCTACGCCCATAACCCGAAGTTTGTGAAGCCTTCTTCGATCGATTGAGCACCACGGAAAGGAGGGACACCCCATCATCCTTGCGACATGACAAGGTCCGTCCCAAGTTGAGGCATTCGGCAACAGGTTGAGCCATCTGGGGATTCGGGTTGCTTTGGGTTCACAGCGTGGTAGCATCCCTGCTGGGCCTTGGTACGAGCGGATGCTCTGACGGGTCATTTCGGATCAAGGGGGCTGGAAAAGCAATACTATATCAGACTGCAGCGCTCGTGAGAAGTTTCTACAATCCTGATGGCCAGTGAGCATGTTGATGCCACGTGTGCATCGAACACTACATGATTATCTCTGGCTGAGCCTAACGTGACCCCTGAAGACGAACATGGTACCTATGCGACAGACAGCGCCGTCAACCTCCTCGGTGGGCCCTACACCCCCAGATCACGATCGAATACACCCTAACCGCCCAGGTACCTACTATGTAGGGCCCTAGGGGCTCTAGTACCCTATATAGTAGGATTAGTAGGTACCTGGGGGATTAGGGACAGGTCATAGGGCTCATCCTCTCAGCTCTCCTCGGGTGCTGAGAGCCCAACAAAGCCAGATGCAGGCAGAAGGTTGAACGCCTCAGGACGGTACTTGGAGGTTCATGGGTAGGTATAAGTGGGGGTTTTTAAGGGGTTCCTTGAAGGGTTCCTTTAAGGGGTTCTACAGGGTTTAGGGTCTAGGGTTTGGAGGTTCATGGGTAGTTATGAGTGGGGTTAAAAGTAGGGTAGCTATACTTATAACCTATATTAGGGGACTTATAACCCTACTTATAACTACCCATGAACCTCCAAGTAGTCCGATAACGGGAGGTCTCTCTGACATTCAGAAACCATACTAGACAAACATAAACATACATGTAAGCCGGTACAGGCAGGTGTACACACATGTAGACATATTCCAGAAGCTTGTACTTTGCTGCTGTCTATGTATTTCATCTCAGAAAGACTTCTACGAGCTGTAGTATTCTCGCGTGCCGGTACGAACCAGAGGGTATCTGGTCTGTGCAAATGCACGTGAGCATGCATGCTTATTCACGACATTTCCTTCAGTTTATTTGTATGTGCACCTAGTTTATGCACTGATGACAGTTATATGCTTTTCAGGAATACCTGGCACAAAACCCTGAACCCCATAACCCGAAACCATGAAGCCTGAGGACTGGTTCTGGGGCTTGGCCGTTAAAAATGCTTGAATGCTAGAATACGCAGCCTTTGGGTTACCTTGGATGAACTGGTCTTTGCCATCATCATGGGTCTTCCATGGACTTCCCAACACCCCCAGACCCAAACAGCCAGAACGCCTAACCTCATATGGTCTTGAGGGGTATAGCCTAACGCCGAACTCATGCATCACAATATGACCTGGCCGTATGAAGCCTGACATCAGGTCTTGCAGGCGTCAGGACAGCAAACATGGAGCCACCTACCGATCCACTTGACACACCATGCTTTTCCTCAAAGACTGGCCGAAGTCTGCCACAGGCCTGCCAAGCTTTGCTTCGTGGAGCGCATATCAGGGACATCCATTCGGAACTCCCCTTCCTCTGCGCATCAGTGCAACCAACGCAGGCAAGGCGGACGAAAGCAGTCTGACTAATATAGGTGCCGAAGTAATTACCAAAAATATCATTGTTATTATTATAGCATAATGGGCCCCAAAACCCTTTTCTAATTATTAATTACGGCCCCTATATTATGTCGCGCCATCATGCGGGTGGAGTGCCGAACACGTCTTATCTTGAGGCCTCAGAGCTCAGCTCTTCGCGCCTCTGGGGGAACCCCAACCCCGGGATCCAGGGTTCGAATGTAGAAGGTTTAGGGTTTAGGGTTTAGGGTTTAGGGGTAGAAATCTAGGGGCGTTCATGACTACCGAAATTATTTTCGGGTTCCTGGGGCCTTAATGATTACCGGAATTATTGTCGGGTTCCTTCATGGGTTCATAGTGTAAAGGGCCCCAAAACCCTACTGTGCTTATTAAGGCCCCTATGTTACCCTTGTAAATCATCTCAAGACTCCCCAAAAAGAGAGTTTGGGGGTTCCCGAGGTGATGGGCAGCTCCCACGGCCACGGCTGTACAGGGCCGTGCAAGCCCAGGAACACGTGGCTCCAACCAACTTTGGGTCGGATCGCAAATCCGAGGGCCGAGTTAGGGTTTAGGGTTTAGGGTTTAGGGTTTAGGGTTTAGGGTTTAGGGTGGAGTTTCTCTGCTGTGATTGCCAAGGTTCGGGAGTCGGGGTTGAGGGCTCAGGAGTTTACGAGTAGTATCCTGGTTCGAATGATTGCTGCTGGTAATTACTAGTATTGGCTGCGATACCAATGCGATGAAGACTCGCATCACTACGGAACATTCATGTCATTATTTATCTTATACGGTCGTTCCTTAATTAGGCCTCCGACATTTTGCAGTATGTGCCACTTCAACTTCTCCTCCGGCGGATTTGCGGAGGGGAGGTTGCGAAACAAGTGCCAGTGCCAGTGCCCGCAAACCCATGTCAGCCAGAAGCTGTGGATTCCTCCTGCCTGAAGCACACTACGGAATTCCAGTATGCTTCATATGACGGGTAAGTGCAGGATTTTGGCCATCAGCACTAAGACCTGGCAGAAATATTTCTTGCAATGTGCTACTGCGCTTTTGGGTCTTCTGCATTCCCACACTTGAGTATAGCTGTGTGCAATTGTGGATAAGCTATCAACTAACACGAACGCACGAACGGCTAAGGGGCTGAGGGCAAGCTATAGCCCATAAACCCTGCTTCCGATTCCACCGCTCCTCTCACTGGATGGGTTTACAGCTTCTGCACTGCCTCTTACCTTTCTCCCTTGCGCCTTTTGCAGGCACACGGGGTTGTCAAGGGTTCTGCAATCAGAAGACTTCCTATCGTCGTAGAAATGAGGACAACTAATTGGGACAAACACGATGATGCTCAGATTTTGAATGAACCTCCCCGCAAGGGGCATGATGACCGACCCCATTTAGTGGTTTCCTGCTTCTCCCACCACCGCGCTGGCTCGGGTTTAGCCGCTGCGACGGAGAAGGAACCTCAACGGGCTAGGCACAGTGGCGAACATTTCCCGGGGGATATGGGCGTTTCTGAAAATAGGGGACCCTAATATAGTACCCTAAATAGTAGGTCCCTTACTATAAGGACCCCCAAAATAAGGTACCCCTATTTTCGGAAACTCCCATATGTTAAAATAAAAACTTTAGGGGTTACGGGCACTGACAAAGCACAGCCGCCATCGATGCTTGGCCTATGGTTGTGTCTGTATTCGAACAGTCTAACCTAAAGCATGGAAGCCTCAACAGTTTAGAACTCAAAGGGTCCTATGTACTGTTATGGGGGATATTTCCCTGCGTCATAACAAAAACCCCTGGTCCAGAAACCCTACATTCAACTATATAGCTACAGTAGGCCCTTTCGGGAAGCTTCAAGCGTACTATTGGTTCCTTTCAAAAGTCCTCAAAGCCGGTAGGTTATTGGGGCCTAAGGTGTATTGTAAACCATACTGCAGGGGCCTTAGCAATTAGAATAGGGCTTTTGGGGCCCACTATACTACTATAACTATTATAGCTATAATACCTATAATAAGGAACCCAAAATAGTATTGGAAATTATTTAGGCCCCTACATGGGTAGTTCTCTAAATTAGGGTCCCGCTTTAGGTCCCCAATATAGCACGGCACCCTTCTAAAAAGGACCCAACAAGGGACCCTAATTTAGAGAACTACCCACATTCATCTTGCTTGGGACTCATTAGGACTCATACTCTGAAACAGTAGGCAACCGGATCGAAGATTTCGACTCTACCCTTGCTGTTGCTAGTCGAGCTCTCGGTGGGACCTTAGGTGTTTCCTATAAGTGTCCATGTATCCATATAGCACATATTTAGGGCTTTAGGGTTTAGCATTTGGAGTTAGTCTGCAAGTACGAAGTTCTCCAAATCGGGGTCCCTTCGCAGACAACAAAAGGAGTGGCGACTCCTTTAACGCGAGTCTATAAGCTACAGAAATACCCTATCGAAACCCTAGACCCTAAACCCTAAAAGGGGATCCTACTTTCTTAGAACTACTCGAAACCCTTGACCGTAACCTAATCTAAAGCAACCCCTTCAAAGTCCGAACCCGAAACCCGTAATCTGGAGATCACGAGTTCGAGAAGCTCGAGCACAGAATCCCGTAGAAGCGCTCCAGGTATCTGCTCCTGTAGGCTGTTTAGGGTTTAGGTTTTAGGGTTTCGGGTTTAGGGTAGGTTCATTGATCTACGGCCTGTCCACTCTAAGGGTTGAGGGGTTACGGTTGGGGCTTAAGGTGTGGAGTTGTGGGCTTAGGGCTTAGAGGGCCGGGGTGTGTAGTATAGCACAACACAGCAGCACATTGCAATTGCTTCGATTGCAGGGCATATGGGGGTTTCCGGAAATAGGGGACCCTAATATAGTACCCTAAATAATAGGATCCTTATTATAGGGACCCCCAAATAAGGTACCCCCTATTTTCGGAAACCCCCATATCATGTCATTGCATGCATTGCGTGGCAGTGGTGCCAAGGAGCGAGACCGGCACATAGGCAGTTTGCCAGTTACGAGTATAAGTAGATAAGTATATCTATATATATATATATATATATATATATTTACACATATGTATAAAGAAAGTTGATACAACAAGGAACACCCAGCTACATATACCGTAGCAAACCGTGGCAAGCACACCAAGCACTTTCGGTTTCATGGCTCAGTGTTCTCGGAGTGGCATGGCCAACTATGAGCCACAGCAGCATGTCCACCGAACGGGTTGCAATCTTTTGAAGTACTACCGGGCCATGCATCAGCAGTATAGGAAATCACACACTCAAAATTAGCGCCCCCAGCAGTAGATCGGGTCTCGGGGATACGTTCTACTGCAAGGATGTTGAGGCAACCGCAAGGAACTCGCCACTACTTGCAGTTTCTCAGGCCCCCAAGTAGCGCAGCTTCGAGATCAACACCCAATCGTCCATGGCAAGATGTCAAAACAAACACAGGCCAAAAATAAAAACCCTTGAAAGGTAAAACCCGAAGCTTTGATCTTCGAAGTGTCGGTCAGTTTCGACGTCAATATTACAAGCCATCGAAAACTTCGTCGATTACACATGAGGTTTTGCTTAATCACAACCTTCTCGCTGAGTTTCCTGATCCTCACAACCCTATGAAAACTTGAGGGGCCAGCATAAACTAGCTAAAGCCGTGCGCCCGAAACACTACACCGCCCCACACTGCGCTGCACCCTGAACCCTCGAACGCCTCAGCCCTAAGCCCGAACCCGAAGGGTCCAAGTACCTAATTATCATATACTCTCCCAAATATGAACCTACTGTAGGGGCCTTAATAATTAGAACAAGGCTTTGGGGGGTTCCTGATTATAATTATAGTACAATCTACCCCAAACCCTATTCTATTCATTAAGGCCCCTACATGAAATATCTACTATCCGTAACTTAAAGTACCTTATCACTGGGTCCTTTGGACCCTTCGGGGAACACCGAAGTACCCGTCGGCTCCTCAAGTGTTCGTGGGCTCCAAAACGAGAGCACCGAAACATTTGGCCGCTAGCACGACCCCCAATGTGGCCTCAGCCAATATCGGTGATTCAGGGTTTAGGGTATAGCATTTGCCACAGGGGTTTAGGGTAAAGGGGCCTTATGACTAGAAGAGGTTTTCGGTACCTACTGTAATGCAATGTAACACCATCACATATGGATGCTGAGAGGATGACGGACAATCACTGATCAAGTTTGGATCCTGTTGGGAAGGTTCTCCTGAGTGCGGGCTCCAGCCGTAGGCCCAAATTCAAAGCTCTGATAAACCCTTTAAATCGCAAAACCTGAACTCCAAAAGCTCACCCCCGAACATCGCAACCAACCCCGAAGCCTTAAACTTGCAGGTCACCCTAAACCCCTGTAGAGTCGTATATACAAATAAAACCGTCTGTAGGAGGTAGAGGTTTGCTTTTACGGTGTTTTCCTAAATTCTATGCGGGTTACGTATCAGTCGTGTTCGTCGTCGTAGCAATAGTAGTTGAAATGTTCAGGGTGTCGGGGTTCAGCTTGTCCATTTTACTGTGTTTGCCATGCCACCGGAACTTTCACAGCCAAAGAGAAGGCGAAGTCCTCTCCGAAACAGAAGATGGTTGCCTTCCTCACAACGGGGGCGAGGGTCAAGTGTGCACAGGTTGGGGTGTAAGGGGGGTCTATAGATCTACGTTTTTGGATTTAACATGTAGGGTTGATGTACAGACCATAGGCTTTAAGGCGTGGCTGTAAAGAATCGAGTGATAGGTCCTTTTGAACCCGACCGACGGATGGCTGCCTCAGATGCAGGCTGCTCAACATCCGAAGGGATCCTATTTTGCATATCACCATCTCCTAGCAATCTGCTCAGTTCATAGCAAAAAAACTCAGCAACCTTGACCATCTCCTAGCAGCCTGCAAATTTCATAGCAAACCAGAACTCAGCAACCCTGCCCAAACAAAAAGAACCCTTCAGGGATCCCCGATGAACGAAGGCAAGGATTCCGATTGCGCAGTGCTGCTAAGTCCCCCAGGCCCAGTCGCTGCGCCAGGCGGCGAGAGCGCAAATACCAAACCTGCACGCTCTGATCTAATGAGGTCTGGATTAAGAGTTCAGATTTTCAGGTTATATCTTGTAACTTAAAGGTATATACAGGTGGTAAAAAAGAGATATAGAGATATCATTGCAATATAGAGATGTAATGGCATAGGTAATTCTGAAGACATAGATGTGTAGATGTTTCGATAAATCAGTAAATAGAGACATGTAGATATTTAGATAGAGATATGAAAACAGACATAGATATTCACGTTAACCGTACAGATCTCTTTGGTGAACAGCCAACGGCGTAGGAGCCTCGACTGCTCTACTATACTCTGCAAGGACCCTTTCTACCCATCATTACCCATCGTTACGGGATCACCTGGGGAAGCCTAATAAATAGTTGCTACTATGAACTATTCCGTGCGGCACCATACTATATCTATACTATAGTAGATCCCCAGACCCTACCGAAGATTATGAAGGCCCCCTTTATAAAAGAAAGTTTTGGAGTTCAGAGCTCATGGTTTCGGGACTTCCGCTCTGAGGTGTGCTTTGCCAAGACTGTCAACATCGACACAGACTTGAACTCAAGATCATATATCTTTCACCTCAAGTGCCAATAACAAGACATGACAGGAGCACACTTCAAGAGTTTGATCTGTTGGCATAACTTGCACACCCCTACCATAGCCTCATACAAAACCCTAGAATGATACGATAGCAGTGGCACCACAAGCCATGAAGCTCTGGCCCTTATGGCCCCGACACCCCGATCCCCCATAGCATGCCGACCTCAGGAGCCAGGTATGTCTCCACCGAGTTCGGCATTAACCACTCGTACACCTGGAGAGGGTTTAGAGCTTAGCGCTTATAGATTATAGCGTTTAGGGTGCCATACAATCTCAAGCCTAAGTGGGCTTGGGCATCGGTATGTCGAATGCTCTAAACCTGCAACCGTTCTGTTTTGGGATTGGGCTCTCGGTCAAGCTGATTTGGCTTAATGCTCATATGTGCAAGTCCCCGACAACAACGAGATCCCAGCTATGGCTCTCCTACTTCCTGAGTCCCCCCTAAACCCTAAACCCTAAACCCTAAACCCTAGACCCTAAAGCCCTTCAACCCGGAACCCCAGAATGGGAACACACGCGTCGACAGGAAAAAGAGGGACCCTAAGAAATATCATAGACACTGAGATATGTCATTCAGGGAACTTGAGGCTTTTCGCAAAAAGGGACCGCTATCTTTCAGACCTTCAAAGCCTGTCATGCCAAAAGAGACCATCCCACTTGCAAAATGCAACAGCCTCCTGCCCACAAAGCCGGGTAGCCTATGACACTAAACATCCCACTCATCATCGTCGTTGTCATGATGCTGACACTAACGAACAGTATTAACCACACAGCCAGTATCGTATCTTGAAGGAGGCTGCATTGACATGTGGGGAGCCTTCCTCAACAGTATTTGGGCTCATCGCGCAGATGCTCAAACTTTATGGTGTATGGCCGCGAAGTGTGTAAAACCAATGACAACTCTGCGCCTTCTTGAACCAACCGCAGACCCAACGCTATATATGCTGAAACTTCAGTCCTCGGTATGCCCTAGACTCTGAAGCTGTCCCTGGCTTACCTGGCCCACAGTGTAGAAGATGCCGACGCCGACGACCAGAAGCCAAAGGACACCACCTGCTAGACTAGCAGTGTAGCGTTCGGGTTTCAGAGATGCTGCTCATCAGACTGCAAAATTTAGGAGGAAGAGCGGCGTGTTCCGTTTAGAACCCCGAGAGGTGATGCTCAGGAAGAACATGAAACTGGGTGGGCGATCTATTCTTCTTGCCCGATTGACTCCTAGCCTAGGCTTCTTCCAAATTGAAACTGCAGGAGTGTGTGGAAGATCTGGCTTTCAGAAAGCCTTCAACCACATTCCGAAGCCTATATTATACGTCCCGCAACTTCAAACCACAAAGCCACCCTGAATCAGCTCAGAGCGAGTGTTCCAAGGATCAAGCCACGTCACAGTCGATTGAAGTATGCTGGATTCCGAACTGTGAAGCGTACTTCAAGGACCCAAGACACTGTCGTTTGTACGCACCCTATAATCCCTGCAGTGATCAAGCAGCTTCGGTAACCCTATACTGGACCCTCACAGAAAAGCTGCTGCCCCCGCGTGTACCCTATCTATTGCTGTATACTTCATATTCATAGCCTTAATGCCTGGCTTTACGCTTTAGGCTTCAATTTGGATCGGCACCTTGTCCGTAGATACGATGGAAATTGGATCCGTTCAGGTAGCCGTCGATGAGGTGGCCTTCTAGTGTCAGCGCATTATCCCTGCCGTCTTCGCTAGCATGAAGGCTTGAGTACTTCTTTCAGCAGCAGCTTCGTGGAAAGCGCATGCAAGTGTGTGGGGTCTCTTTCTCACTCCCACCCGCCTTCCTTCCTTCCTTCCTTCCTTCCTTCCTTCCTTCCCTCCCTCCCGCTCTCCCTCTCTGCCCTCTTGCTTGCTTGCTGCTTACTTGCTCAGCATTTGAGGATTGGGTTAAGCCCCCAGCCCCCTGCGCTCATCGCGCTGCCCCGAATGTCCATGTCCAGGGTCTCGCTGCCCTCTCTTTCTCTTTCTCTCTCTCTCTCTGTCTCTCTCCCTCCCTCTCTCTCTCACTCGTTCGTTGTATCAAACAATGTAACTCTCAAGAAGTACCATTTCTGTAGGGAGGTGGCAGTTTAAGGCCGCAGCACAGCACGGGGCTGATATGATTCCAGCCGATGCAGAAGCTGTGGAGCACAGGGCACTCTGCCTCGATCTAGCATCTAGGGTTTAGGGTTGGTTTGACCGGCAGAGATTCATATTACATGCGTATATAGATATATACAGGGGATATATGGAGTTCTGTTGGCTTCATTTCTGTGGGCTTTTCTCGGCTTCATCGGGTTGATATAGGGGTATGAAACAACCGGTACGCCTGGATTCGATCTTTCACGACCAGCTGCCGGACGACTCCAAGGAGAAAGCTTCTCTTTTGCAGGCCACACTTAAGCTCTGCAGGCTCACCAACATGTGTATTGATTCGAGATATCACCCCGTACGGTCCCAAATCTGTTATTGGTACGATAGCTAGCAGCTGTAGTTTTTGTAGAATAAGGACTACAATAACAACGACAGTAAGACTATTGAGGATGACACCAATCCCCCCAAGGCCCGATCAAGATCTGTGCTACAAGTGCAGCAAGGGACTGAGTGAGGAGCGATGACTGATGAGTGACCAACACAAAATCATAAAGATTTGCAATACAACCATCTAAACACGAGCCATACTGCTGAGAGGCACGCCGGTTGGGGAATTTTCCGAACAGATGTCTGGAACAACCTGATAATGCTTAGGTAGGCCAACCAAAGAGCCACAGCAAGAAACAAGTGCAGCCCAGCAACGATTGCTGGGATCATGTCCTTACTTGGCAGGCTTCCTCACGAAGCAAACCTTACCACTACATGTTCAGAATGTGGACAGTGGGGCCCAAACAGAATCAGTGAACAGGAGGGTCCTGTTTAGGGTCTAGAGCGATCCCGCCCCCCGGCACACTCAGCCCCTCCAGCCTCCTCCACCCCTTCAGAAAAAAAACGAATAGGAATAAAGTGTTTGCAAACACCCTTCAACCCCAAAGTATGACGATGCCCATCATCTTCTGAATCCTCCCAAGTTTCTTTCGGGGCCCCACCGCCATAAAAGTTGGAGACCACGAAGAAGCCAATGTACACAAAGCAGGCCGCCACGAAGCTCGCAGGATGACTCCAAGAGACCTAAACGAGCTGAGGTTTACTTCTTGCTTCCTTAATTTTGGTTACGTGTTGTTTGTTTGATCTTTTTTGTTCAGTTTCTTCTGCTTTAGCTTGGGTAGAGGTTTCTTCAGTGAATTTGGTGTCTCTGAAGGAACAGCTGCGCAGTTGCGATTCTTGGGCCTGTGCAATTGGATGAAAGAAGTAGTGTAGCTGAGGGTTCCCAGGGCTCTATATGGGCTTACTTTTACAGAACCTGCGGGAGCAGGATGTCAGGTTTTGGTTTCTCTGGGGCTGATGTGGTTTGGGTATGTGTTAAAGCCGATCGCGCCTGAGCTTCAAGTCCTCAAGCCTACACCCCGAAACCACGAACCCCTAACCCTGAAAAATCGAATGTTGTTAGGGTCTCGAAGTTACACCACTATAGAATCCCGCAAATGCCAATCGAAACCTAAAGATCCATATTATCAAAGAAGGCTTTTGGGACATAAGCAAACCTTATAGGGCCTTCAGAAGCGTTATAAACAAACTGTTAAACACCACGGCAGCCTGTGGAACCCTAGCTTACTCTGCGATGCGCTGATTCACTGGATCTTCAGGACAGTCTCGAGCTCAGAGGAGCTGGCAGAGCTTCCGGGCAGTGTGGGTTTTGACGGGCTGGGTTCAGGGGTTTAGGGGTCAGGGGTTTAGGGGTTTGGGATTTAGGGTTTGGGTTTGGGGTTTAGGGTTTAAGGCTCAAAGGTTCAATCGAGGGTTTTGGGTTCAAGGGTTTAGAGTTTCTGATGAGAGCGAGGCGACATGCTTCACCTGAGGCACCGCTTCCAGAGCCAAGACACAAAGCTGTCCAACTTGGGGTTCGAGATGTCAAAAGTTCCTTACTTGCCCAGTATCCTAGGGGAGCTACGGGTTAACCTTTAGGATTCTAGAGGGGTCATAGTACCCCAAAAAGATGGAGCTTTTGGGATTCTAGAGGGGTGATAATACCCTTAAAAGGATAGAGGTTACCTACTCTACAACCAAGGTTCCAAAGTAGATGATGTGGAGGAGCACGCACCAGGTGGTAAGGTAGCGCATCGGCTTCTGAATGCAGGCCGAGACAAGGAAGATGCAGAGAAACAGCTGGAAGGACGCCTTTGGGTAATTCTGGGTTTCGGTTGAGGGTATAAAGAGTTGAGGATTAGTTAAAAGGTATTATAAGGCTTGCTGGGCTGTAGTCTTATTCGATCTAGGGTTAACTCCTTCTGCTCCTGCGGACATGTGCCTTCAATCAATCCTCAACCTCCTTTACCCGCAGCACCTGCCCTGAATCAGACGCTCACCGGAACCAGCCTGCCTGAGAGATGGGTTCCGATATGATGCGGCCACTGACGATCACTGGGGTTGGCAGTTGGAGTCTATAGTCTATATGGTCCCCCAGGTTTCGGTGGATTCTCATATGGGTAGTTATCTAAATTACGGTCCCTTTTCGGCCCCCCCAATATAGTACGGCACCCTTATAAACAGAACCCCAAAACGGGCCCTAAATTTAGAAACTTACCCATACACCGGTCCGAGGGTTACTCTGCGTTCGTTGGGTCGTGCCGAGCGGCCACGTGCAGGGCATAGCCAGCTTCCTGGGGCTCCCAGCGCAGGAATTCCAGGGCGATCGCGAGACCAGCCGTCACCTTAGCCCAAAGGGTCCTATGTACCTATATAGTAGAATGTAGGGTTCCTATTTTAGGAATTCTTATTGTGATTTAGGGAAGTATCCCCCAAAGGTCTGTCGCTGGGATCCATGGAACTGTACTTGGAGGTTCATGGGCAGTTATAAGTGGGGTTATAAGTAGGGTAACTATACTTACAACCCATACTAGGGGACTTACAACCCTACTTATAACTACCCATGAACCTCCAAGTAGCCCTGAGGGTCCATGTACCCAAATAGTAGATACATTCCCCCCAGAGTACTTATATAGGGACTACTCTAAGGCCAAAGAATATACCATTTGGGTACATGGACCTTTAGGGTAGTGATGCAGGCATTGACAACCATACCACACTCACATTCAAGATATTCACGACAAGGGTGCTAACGGCAAGGCTAGCCGTGAGCCTGATGTTGCGATGTTGAAACTGACAAGACGCTGATGGACAGGGCCAGCGTCAAATCAATACCATCCAACAAGTACTGTAGTGGCGACAGTAGCAGACGCCATGACTGTCGTCGCAGTTGTCAACATCGTAATCAGATTAATCATCATCACAACAGCACTACTCACTGTCATCACCGTCGTCAACATGCGTAGAACAACACCGCAAATATTGTGATCCATGCAGAATACAGTAGAAAGGATACACCTTGAAAATTGGCATTGGTGACCCTTCAAGCAATGACGGGTCATTGCACTGTCAGACAACATTGTAACACAACAAATATACTGCTACTGATCATGACCCCTCATGTTGAACAGCTACGGGGTCGCGGCAGGTCTCGACCACGCAACTGTATGACCCAACTATGTGAACTAACATTACTGTAATGTTTGCCAGGCGACCACGGTGACTCCGGTGGATACCAGCAGCGCAATGTTCCAGCTGATGACATTTGTTCCGAGGAAGGTCAGCAGAAATGTTAAAGTCAGAAATCGTCCTGGAGCGCCGGACTCGAAACAGCTGTAAACTTGTGCTAGGACATTCTCCGATCCTAAGCTACCGTTGTGTGGTATCTCCATAGTGCCCACATTGGGGTATATGTTAAAACCTTACAAACACAGTAGGCTCTGGTAATTTAGTAGTTAAGAGGTCGGGGTTAGGGGATGCTAGCTAGACCGCCACACAGACAGCGTGCTCGCGTAGGAGATTGCAGCACGGCTATGCCTCCGACAGATGCAGAGTGAACCAATGGTGATGCTGCGCTGAACCAGTGTTGCTTGTTGAGTTTGAGCCAACTGATGTGTCTTGAAATCTGTGCAAGGAATACCAACCCCTCGACACACCCTATCTGAGCAAGAATGCTGCGAAACAACCAAAACTGCAACGATTCAAAGCCAACCAGAAATCAAGATCTGCTTCGAGGCTCCCATCGGAAGGTCAGCAGCAATGTCCCAGGAAACCGGATCCACCATCGAGGAAGGCATTGCAGCTGCACATCAAACCCGATTGAGACTGCTATGCTCCCGAACTCTTTCGAGCACTCACCGTTTACCAGCAAGACACACTGTCGTTGCTTCTATACATACATACATGATACATACATACGTACATACATACATACGTACGTACAAACATAACGGCATACGTACAAACATCGCTCAGATTGCGGCTAGCGGGTCGAGTTTCCAGATTTTTTTTGTTGCCGATTTGTCGCGACGCCTTAACAACTACCACTTTGTATGGCCGAGCTTGTGAAAGGCTGGTGTGGCGAAGTCAGCAGGAGCTTGGAGACTTGGGGATATGAGTTCAGGGAACCCTAAACCCTAAACCGCTTAAGCACTGACGCCTTGGATGTAAGGTTTGGGTTGATGCAGGGATCTAGGTTTCGAGGTATGGCTTCTAAGCAAATCATATTTGACTGCACACGAACAAGAAAACTGATCTGGAAACCGCTGGAACGACACAAAAACAAGCTGCACCCACGAGAAAACCACACTGCAGCCCTGCTCACTGTCTTGACGAGAGAGTAGCACGCAGCCTGTCAACGATTTAGAGCCGAATCCGACGACTTCTGAAGCCCGTGCCGCACCACGTGAAACACCGAAGCCGACAGCAAACTAGAACATACCATGCTTGTGAATTATGTACTCCAGTAACTCTAGCATTCTCAGTGTTCTCGACTAAACTTATCAACAAGCTTGCCGGTGCTTTCGCATGGTCACTGAAGGCCCAGCCAGCGCGACTGCGGCGGCCACTGCAACCTGCCCCCATCATTTCGAGAAGGTGATCGCCTCTTCATCCGTGTTTGAAAGGGCCTTTGTCAAGCCTTCTAGGGCATGAGGGCGGTGAAAGAACAGAAGTCATACGAGTGATGTTGAATGGTATCCATCGTGGAGCTCTTGCACTTGGTACGTGTCCTAAGTGAGCGAGCCATGTTGAGATGAGGCCAAGCCTACATACGCGCTCAATGGCAGGAATTATTTGCAGTGCAGTAAACATGGTTGCTTGTTCACTCCTCGCGGCGACGAGTGCAGCAAGGAACCAAGTTCGCAAATCTTGCCTTCATGACGTCTTCGTGCACAAATCGCCTCGGACACGAGGGAATAGAAGAGTGTGTGGTCATATGCAAGAACGCTGGGGGCACTTGAGCCTTCGAGCCTGGGTCCACAGCCCGGCTGAAGTGTAAAAGTATATGGTTTTCGGCCTTGCGGGTGCCAGACCGACCCCAATTACAGGTCTGATTGGACACTCACAGGGCAACCCGAGCTGGGTTGAGGGTTCAAGGACACGTTCATACACTTGTTTCAGGGCCGCAGGTCTTAAACCCTACATGCGAGCACCAGGGACTGCGGGAACGCTCGGTCGAATCAAGTTGACAGTCTACCACGTTGCAACAGCAAGGAACTGCACCGCGTGGGCCCGGACCAAGCTGGGAAGTGTTCGTTTTTGTTTGGGTTGCGTTCCGGATCTGGAATCTTTGGATTGTGACTTGTCCCATTGTTGTCCCAATTCCATTGTGAACACCATAATCGGCATACACATGTGCAACGACATGGATACATGCCCTGACTCCCCGGTCATCATGATCACAGGTTTCGGGAACACACGCAGATCCGGGGTTTGTCATCCTTACTTGGGTGAAGAGGGACCTCTTCATCGTTTGAATCCGAAGTTAGCCAGCCCATGCACGAATCACCATGTGAATGCGAATCATGAAAAACGCTACACACCACAAATATGTTTATGATTACAACTTTTCTAACCTTTATGAATTATGAAACAATAACCGTATCCGGGTTGTGCTACAATTGCTACAGCAACACGCCGAGTCGCGAATGTCAACTTCACGTCGTTTGCTTCGGTGTCGACTCAGCGACGTGGTAGTCCAATGGGTAGTTGTAAGCGGATAGGAGCGTAGAGCGTGAATGCGTAATTGAGCTGCGAAACAGCTATCGGACGGCGAATCTTCAATTCTCTGAGCTGTGCGCCTTAAAAGGAGCAAGTATGCGCGGTTTGCCTTGCACAGCATCGTCGCAGAACCGCATCCACGAAATGGATAGTTGTGTTGACAGCCAACAACACCGTTTTCGTGTTCCACTGCCATGTTCAACACAACCACACACGACACCGAGCTAACAGTTCGCCCACCTTGCAGCAATGCCCACATCATCTGGGAGACGAGTGCTCGCCGGATGCGACGAAGCATGCGCACAACTCTTGAACTCAAAAACCATCCACACACACACGCCGAGCATGCAACCCATGTTTTTTCAACAGAGAGGCGCCTCTCTTTTCAATCTATGGTGACACTGTGACCACGTAACGATGCCTTCGGCAAAAAAGGCGTGGTAATGTGAATCGGACTGTCCACAAGCTGCAGCAAAACAAACGGAATTTGGGAGGGATACGTACTTGCAAGACAATACTGCGTTATGAACCTGCTGTGACAAAAATTCAATGTGCAGGGCAGCGGCTGCAGAAGTGAGAACGGATAGATGGATCCCCGAAGTGGGTGACGGATCGCATGCAGTTCAACTTGTTCATATGAATGTTAAAGCTCCTGGAACGACATGGCTCAGGATCACGAATGCTAGCCAGATAGAAGACACGACAAAATATGAATTATTCCTGCCCGTCTGACCTATCCTTTTCTTGCACGGGCGAAGCGCCTCAGCGCAAGAAAAAATAACTACAGCTCAGCACTTCCACACAGGGGCGAATCGCCTCGCTGCTCTGTAGCAGCTTCACGCGACCACGACTATGCACAAGCAATGTGGAGCCTCACTTATAAATGTTGTACTCGCGGCAGACCACACCTCGAAGGACCTCAGACTGACCTGTGTAAATATTCGCAGAGAGCGGCAAATGCACACAGGAAAAGCGTAAAGGACGGGCCAAAAGAAAACTGCGGCGAGGCTTCTGCTGCACGGAGGAGAGCCTCAGCCCGCTTCCGTGTCGGGGTTTTTTTGCGCTGACTCGCGTAATTCTTCGGATCTTTCTGGAGCACAGCTTGTGATGGAGCAACAGCTTGTGACCACCAGCTGCGGTCTGTTCGCCCAAGTGCATCACGCATGTTGCAGGCTGACCCGTAGGCTGTTGCAGCCATGTGAGCAACAGTTTGCCACTATCAAGCATGCAAGTGACCACCAGCTGCGGCCCTGCCGCCCAGGTGCGCCACCCAGGGTCGAGGCTTCTGTTTTACCGAATGGAGAGCAGCTGCAGCCACCAGTCGCAGTTCCAAGACGTTCCAGCCACCAGGCACGGGGGCAGCGAAGCCGGAGCCCAGCCCAAACTCGGTGTGACACCAAGAAAGGGGAAGGGTTCAGAAGACATGGCTACAGAAGACATGGCTAGCCCTGCTCTATAGCTTTTATCCAATCGCTTGGACAACGATGGCCTCTGGACCCACAGCTTGTGACCCCCACCTGCGCTCTGTTCGCCCAGGTGCATCACGCATGTTGCAGGCTGACCCGTAGGCTGTTGCAGCCATGTGAGCAATAGTTTGCCACTATGATCAAGCATGTTGCAAGTGACCACCAGCTGCGGCCCTGCCGCCGAGGTGCGCCACCCAGAGTCGAGGCTTCTGATGCAGGGAGGAGAGCCTCAACCCGCTTCCGTGTAGAGATTTGCGCAGAATAGTGTGTGTTTTCTGATCTTTCTGGAGCAACAGCTTGTGATGGAGCAACAGCTGGTGACCACCAGCTGCGGTTTGTTCGCCCAGGTGCATCACGCATGTTGCAGGCTGACCCGTAGGCTGTTGCAGCCATGTGAGCAACAGTTTGCCACTATCAAGCATGCAAGTGCGGCCCTGCCGCCCAGGTGCACCACGCGGAGTCGAGGCTTCTGATGCAGGGAGGAGAGCCGGTAAGGCAACTCCCAGAAGTTCGACTGAATCTGACTGGCACCACTCGCAAGCAAGAATCAAGGCTCCTGACAACCAGGCAACATGTCTCACAAGACTGAATGGCCTCCCTTATTTGTCCAGTATTACTTCCGGTGACTTGCATGACTGCTTCGATGTCACCAGGTCAGGGCCCCAGCTGGCACATTAGCCCATCGTCCAGCTGTCATCTACCCCCTGCCCCTGGGGTAGGTTGGCCTATTGCAGCGTTCGCAAGACGGCGTCGACTGCTCCGCGCAAGGGCTTCCTCAAAATTGTACCCTCGCTTGTAGCGAAAGGCTTCGGACCAGAACTCAGTCCCAGGCGGCGCACCTCACTTTGAGCGGCGTTTCCT